ATTGACGTCAATTCGGGGATGTTGCCTTATTTGATTCTGGCCTTGACTTTTGTCACGCACCAAAATTGACACACAGACCAGCCCACTGGTTCACTGACCGAAGAACATGAAAAGAGGTAGATGTAAGACACCAGTTTAGCTGTCTAGCGTACAGTTGGGTTTACTTCTACAAGAATTACAAAGCAGGCAGTTTCTCTATTGAAAATGAGCCAGAACCACAAGCGTAAATGCAGTGTTCCAGACTGCTCGGAGAAAGGGGAACATTTTTAGTCTTCCCAAGGATCTGAAGACTTGACAGGCATGGATTATTTTTGTGTATCAGAAGAAGCTTGCAAAGTGTGATGCCCAGCTGTTCATTTGCTCGAAGCATTTTAGCGAAGACAGCTTTCAAAATCTTGGACACTTCAAAGCAGGATTTGGTCAATTTCTTTTACTGAAACGAGGCGCTGTTCCGACTGTAAGGCCATCACAACCGCAAGCTGGAAGTATGATTCTGTCGCTAAGCAGTTGATAGCAATGCTAGCATAGCGATAGTGACCAGTTTTGGGTTTCTGAAAAGGAGGGGGGGTGGGGATTGCTGCTGGGCAGCTGACTGGACCAGACTGGGAATTTAAACCAAGCCTTGAGCTCCGGGGAAGAATGACCAAACCCGACCCAGTGACGGTAGCTGCGGCCCCGGGTTGGGTTCGCTGGTTCCCTCCACCCGTCCGACAGAGTTCCTGGACCAGCCCTCAAGCTCAAGGGTCAGTTCAGCTGCACTGCAGTCGACCAGAATCCCGGACAATTTTTAAATTCCTCCTCTGACATTTTTTTAGGTATGAAAAGCAGGGCATGTCCGGGAAAAAGAGGACCTCTGGTCCCCCTACCATATCAACAATTTGATGTTTCAGTGAGTGAGTGCTTGTTGCTATGATGCATCTTTGCTCAACAGCTTTGCTCGTTGTAAACCAACCAATCAGAGCACAGCTCATCTAAATATTCATGAGTGTACCATAAAAGGAAGAAAACCTGTTGTTTCATTCTAGGGCTTTTAACCAGGTTTGCATTGGAGCCAATAGAACAGCAAATAAGCCATTTTAAGCCCAACCAATGTTACACACCCTATTAGGAGACCTTAAGGACCAGCACCAAATACCCTATAGAATCATTCTATCCCCCCTTTGATGCTAAATCACCACAAATGTATTAGTTTTAGGTATAACTAACGATCCATAGATTATACCTTGCTGACTGGACTTTTCCTTTAATTTAAAATCTAATTTTACCTATCTGCTGGTGAAGATTCCCAGTCATCCAGGTCATAGTCAATCCCAAAAAAAAAAAAAGAAGGGAATATTAAAAACAATCCACTGGACATTTTTCTTCAAACTTGGAAACAAAGTCCAGTGGATTGTTTTTAATTTTCTTTTTTTTATTTTACCTCTCATTTCGTACCTGAAATGTAAAATTTCTAGTTTGATTTAAAGAATCAAAAGCATATTAATGTCTTTGAATGGCCAAAATCCAACCTGGAATTTGAAGCAATAAATGAAAACTGATGCTTATATCGGTTTATCAGCTCGAGTTGATTTTTAAAGAAATATGGGCAATAGTTGTAATTAAATACCCAAATGCTTTCAGGTTTAGGTGCAGCACATGGTGGTATTAACGTACGGAGAAGGCTAATTTATATACATACCTTAATTTTACCATTGCTCGTTATTGAAAAAAATGAAATAAAAACCATGCATTTTACTAATTTAATAAATATGCATATCTTTGCGTTTATCTCACAAAAAATACACCGTAATTTGTGGTTAAAACATGACAAAATAAAACAAAGTGTCTTTTGAAAAACAAAAGTTAAAAAAGAAGAGATCAGAGGATGGATTCTGGTTTATAGGTTTTTAGTAAATTCAGAACCATGTTTTTCTGTTGGGTTGAAGTTAAAAAACAGAGAAGGCCCAGTGAGTTGTTTGGAGTGTGGTCTGATATGACTGTCACAGTGCGGTGGAGGAGAAGAAAAAAAAAAAAAGCACAAATCTTGAAAAAATAGTGAGACAGAGTGAGTGATTTTTTTGGATTTTCAGAATTGTCTCTGGAAGACAAACTAAGAAAAAGAAGGAACAAATGGAAAAAAAAGGTTTGATATATTTTAGTTCAACCAGAACCCCTCTAAACCTTCAATTCATTAAATAAGTAATTACATTTCAGTCAAATCAGAGAATATTTTTAATCAGTATCTGCCAAAATTTAAAGTTAAAGCAGACTGAAACAAATAATTAGAATCATATACATACATACATATATATATATATAAAAAAAAATCATGTCCCAAATGTACATCTTTTCATTTCTATAAAATATTTCTTGAATTTTATAAAGCTTTAACTTCTTTTTTTGTTGTCAAACACTTGATGTAAAAGTTTCCCAAACTGGCTCTGAGAGGAGCAGGTACTTTGGAATAGAATTGAAATAAAACTAATACAACAAATACAAATAAAACACATTTAAGTGACATAGTGGTATATAACACCTGAAAAAAAAAAAGAATACTTATTCCATGTATAAACTCTAAAACAAAAATACGGATTCCAGTGCTTCAAGAGATAACACAAATGAAAAACTCTAAACTAAAGAACACAAGGTCAACATTAAAATCACTTTCAATGATCTTTTTCTGTCTAACTTCTTCAGCTCCGATCAAAATAAAAAGTCGAACCCAAACAGAGACGCAACTTAAGTTGCTTCTACCGTTAAAGTGACGCCTGGCGTCTGAATCAGCTGAAATCCATACATGCTACATTCATGTCCTTTGTTAATTGTATGAACGCGTGTTCCGGTTCTGTTCTCGCAAACCTGCAGATCATAAACGCGTGACTAAACTTTCTCATTCCATCTTCATTTAAAACCTTACTTCATTGCTCTTTTATGTTGACCCCGTCATCTAGAAACCCTTTAAAGAAATCCACTCAGAATCATGCTCTCCCTTGGAGACGGCATAATTTAGCTGAAGCAAACGGCAGAAAAGCATGGCTGAATGTGATGTTAATTCCTACACTTCCTATGGCACAAAACATAACATAAAAAACATGCAGTAAAAAGAGGCAGATGTATACTGTAAATCATAAGGCACGCAAGGATATGGATTATGGCTCTGGAACGACTGAAAATAACAAAACCGATGCTGTTTCTGTCTTCTGTTACAGTACCTGAGTATTTTGAGTATCTAATAAGTTAATGCTAAATATTTCAGATCGGCTTGTTGAAATGACTCCAAAATAACTTGACAGCATTTGAATGAAGGTCATGACTAGAGATGTCTGGAAAGATTTTTAAATGATCGCACTAAAGGTCCCTGCCTGTTTTTTGGGTTTTTTTTTGCTCCCGTATGTAATTTTATATTGTTTACGTCTCAAGTAAGATGTAAATCTGCAAATTGCACAGCCAGTAAATGTAGAGACTCTAGTTGCTGCTGCAGGTAAATATCGATCAGGACAGTTAACATGGCAGCAAACCACTGGAGAACGCAGGAACAGGAATTTATTGAATTTATCTCTGTCTACGTGTCATTAACGACCTGTAGTTCTTTATCGACTTGGGCTTGGATGCCCCCAGTCATGACATTAGCAGGTGAAAAGTTTGGTATATCTAACATATAATCTGAGGAAAAAAAGATAAGCTCACAAATGATCTTATTTTTTTTAACAAAATGACAAACTATGAACACAAATTCCTCCAATTTATCAGGCCAGCTCACATCTTTGTCACCACTTAACACGTGTGGCTAAAGCTAAATGTGGAAAAGCACACAATGTCAGAAGACTGCTTCCCCTTCAGGATGAATTATGCATGCAGGACCATAAAAGCATTTCCATTTTATATCTATCATCCACCGAATCATTTACGGTTAGTAAAAGAGGTGTGCGGGGGGCAAATAATGATCACGTGAGACAATGCCCCCATTTGCCCTTGCATCCGATACCGTCAGTCTAATTAACTACCGGTGTTGCCCTCAGATGGAAATACGGCCGGATGCGCTGCACAGCTGATCCTCGGACTACTTCCTGTTCCTTACTTGACAATGCTCAGTCTAAGATTAAGCTTCAATCTGCACAGATTAACTTGAAGGCACTTGAGTGTGTGTGCAAAATGTTTACTGAAAAACAGAGCCGGTCCAAGAAGGTTTTTGGCCCTTAGTTGAATCTCATTTGGGACCCCATTTCAGTTCACATATATTAAAAAGAAAAAAAAAAGAGGTGTTTTAATGCAGATCCAGTAGTTTTGCGAAGTATCAGTGGCCAAAAGTGTTAAAATCAAAAACAAAACAAAAAAACTGTTAAATCTATCAATCTATTTATGGAATTAAAAATAAATCGTCATAAAAATAAATGTATTTATATTTTAATAAATTAGTACAAAAAATCTGATGTTGTACTAAAATTAGATTTTTTTCTAGGTTTCATTCAATCATAAAATAATTATTATGAAAAATAATAATAATAGTTAATTAAATACAGCTAATTTAGAGCTTTGTTAAAAAAAGGGGAAGTAAAAAAGAGAGCACTGTCTGTGATAGGTATCAATGATTTTTTTAAATAAATAAAAGAATAGAATTTTACAGGCTCCTAACATCAAATTAACACAATCTTTAAATTATTGACTAACTAAATGATTTCATTTGCAGCTGATGTATTTATTTATGTAATTTTGATTTATTTGAGTTATTATGTATAAAATACACATTTTCTAAATTAGTGTTGCTTTGAATTGTGGCACTTTTGGCCTTTGATTAAAAAAAAAGCTATTTTTTTTATGTATTAGTTTGCAGTTATGTTGAAATGTGACTCCAGCATAAACTCAAATAGCAGAAATCATTAATATAATTCTCAGAATATTAATATACAGTATGACTAAAATATTTTCCTGTGTCTAAACAGATTTTACATTGTTTAAAATATTCTTTTGAATTGTAACCATAATTTTGAAGTTCTGAGTTGTGCTTGAGCACAAGCAGCAGCTTGTTTTTTTTTTTTTCTTTGGGCCGGCTCTGGATTCATAACCCGTGTTGCTCTGATGGTACCTTTAAAAAGAAATATCTGTACCAATATCTGGTCTGTAAAGATATGTGATGTTGAACTTCTGTAAATGATCATTTATTTCTGTGTCGGGTATATATATGTTTAGGGCTTTTCCTTATTTTTTAGCTGTTTACAGTTTAACTGTAACCACTTTAAATTTCTACATGATGTCTCCATCCTCTATGCTAAAGCTGGATCTGCGGCTCGAGTCGACAGACGCCTCCGGAGACATTGCAGACAGCAGTGGGTCCCCCTCCATAGGGGACAAAGGCTCGTCCATCATCAAGAAGCTCAGCTCGCCTCTTCTCCCCTGGACGTCCAGTCCGCCCAGGTCCCCCAGCCCTGACATGCCGTCTGAGAATCCAGGTATCCCGTCGCACAAGTCCAGCGACTGGGCAAAGTCAAAGGGCTGGGAGCTGCCCACCGCGGGGTACTGGATGGGCTGTTGGGGGGGCAGGTGCTGTGGCATTGGTGGCAGCTGCCGGGGCTGAGGCTGGAGCTGGTTCTGGGGATGCATGTGGGGCTGGGGGAGGAAGTGGTGCTGTTGGGGCTGAGCCTGGTTGTGGGGTAGGTGCTGAGGCTGGTGGAGGGCTTGCTGCTGAGCATGAGAAAAGTTCTGCTCTGGACTGGTCTCTTGTTTAATGTAAGCAGGCATCATTTCACCGGGGTTCAGGCCGGATGGGGAGGTACTTGGCAGGCCATGCAGCCGAGCTTGCATCTCTAACTCCTGTTAACGGCAGAATCAAATGTCATCCCAACTTTCTCCATTTTTTTGTTTCTTAAATATATTTCTGTTGGTGATTTACCTGGATGCGCATCAAAAGCTGCTTGTTGGCCATCTCCATCCTTTTGAAGTTATTCTCCACCTCTCTGGACCTCTGCACGTCCTTCTGCATTCGTTTGATATACTCTACAGACGCCCGCAGTATAGTACCTTTGTTCCAACGCACGTCACTACAAAAAGAAAAAAATACAAACTAATGGTCAGCTGATGTCTTCTGGATCCACAGGTACCTCTGATTAACTTTGAATATCCTTAAAAAGTCTTTTTATTTGTGTATTTCCATTAAAAAAGACTGAAACTTATGTCAATCTGTATTACCCCCCTTATTTCTATAAATTTATTGTCCATATAATGTAAAGTATATATGCACTTTTTTGCTTCCAGCTGAAGTTTAGAACCTGAGAGCTGGCATTATATTCCTGAATTGGCTTTGCTTTAAACTGCAATTGTACCTGTTGTTGCTTTTTCTACCGTTTTGATTTAAATGCCAGTCAAATTTTATTAAAACTTAAATAAAAGCAAATGCAACTGTTTTCTATCAATTGCAATCAATTAACCAGACGATGCCAAGCACAGACGCATCATGAAAGTATAGGGCATTATACGTTAACAGAGATGTACTTGTAATTCAGTCTTTATGTGAAATCTTGAAATTATATGTACTTACTATAACAATGTCATCAAACATGTACATCATCAATTTAGCACTTTCGGCACATCTGTATTATTATGCTCCATTAACACATTAATTTTGTAGAGATGCATTTGTATAATATGTCATATTACATGATTTTTAGACCTCATGGACATCTTTTTTTTTCATAAGTTACAGCAATCTACTGATTCTATGAAACAGCAAGTGTGTGTCCAAGTGATGAATTTATCCTTATTTTAAAAGCGTAGGTAGGTTCCCACTGGGAAATAACGCTGGGACCAAGTAGCACTAAATTGGTGACTTAGTAACGACACCGTCAAGGAACCCTATGGACAGCGGAAACATTAAAAAGTAAATTATTCTTTTTTCAACCGTTGCGTATATTAGCTGTGACATATGAATAAAGATGCTATGACCAAAAAATTTGATTGACAGATGACCATTGATATATGATTGGCCGAATTTAGGTGTACAAGCTGACGTATAACTAACTGGCTTGCATAAGATAACATAAAAAAACAACACACTCACATTTTAAGACAGGATTTTTTTTTTTTTTGTATAGAAATGTTCAAAATTTTGGGAAAATATAATCTGATAAAGACTACATTTATATGCATGTTTAAGCCAGAATGATTTGATATTTAAATATGATTTCTCTACGACTTTAAGCCCCCCTGAAAATGAGAACATCATCGTTGTTTGATGTCGTAGCGCACGTATTGTTTACATTGTGACCATAAGGCAGCTGGTGGCTTCACTCCACCAACGGGCTATCAGCAATCCAGTGAATAAATTGAGATCAGTGGTCGTGGTTAGTAACCTTAGCAAATCATCTTGAGGCCAATAGCTGTTCTCTTCAAGAACTTAATTGTGATTTCATATCCAAAATTCATCATCTGATACAAGAAAAAAATGCTTAACTGTAGCTGCAAACTGATTAGCACTGTAAATGTGTTCAACTATAAACCAGAGCTTATTCACGTTAGCTAACGTTAGCTTAGCTCATATGAAGTTAAAAATTTAACAATAATTTTAGAGCATATTGCTACTTCTGTCAAAACATATTCATGACTGTGTTAACTATGGTATTTTATAATGACTTAACATAACTAAATTTGAACTCTTTGTGCAAATAGCTATTAGCCCGAGTGGAAAAGTGGAGGTGGGATTATGTGAAAAGTACCGGTAGCCAATCACAGCCAATGACATTTACTTTGTCAGGTTGGTTCCATCCTCAAAGTGACAAACGTTAACATAAGTGTACAGAAACAGATCAAAACCTGTAGGAGAGGATCTACAGGCGCGTAAAAAAAACGAGAGAGCAGAGAAGGAGCATGAACTCATTCTGGGGACATACTGGGGGTCTCGTGGTTTTAAATATGCACACATGAAACAATCAAAATGCACATGGAGAGTAGTTTATGTGCGTTTGTTTTTGGTGAAACTATATGAGGGGCTGCTCAGTGAAGCAGCGGGTAGCACTGCCTCTTTGCAGCAAGAAGGTTCCGGGTTCCATTCTCGGAACCATCTTTCTGCATGGTGTTTGCATGTTTTCCCTGAGCATGTGTGGGATCGCTCCAGGTACTCCAGCTTCCTGCCACAGTCAAAAATCATGACTGTTAGGTTAATTGGCTTCTCTAAATTCTCCTTAGGTGTGGATGTGTGCGTGAATGGTTGTTTGTCCTGTTTGTCTCTGTTTTTCCCTGCGATGAACTGGTGACCGGTCAGGGTGGACCCCGCCTCTTGCTCGTAGACAGCTTGAGATGCAGTGTTGGGAAAGTTCTCTTTCTACGTGAACTAGTTCAAAGTTCAGTTCACACATTTTAAAATGAACTAGTTCAGTTCATAGTTCATAATTCAAAATTTTGCACTAAGTTTACAGTTCCAAAAAATGAACTAGTTCAGTTCTTTTTTTTTTTTCATATATTGCTCAATTACACCATAGCCTACTGTAGAACCACAGACAGCAATTATTTTATCAGTTGTAACACTGAAACTGTGCGTCAGATTTCATCTTCATATCCAGTTTTGAATCCTTATCCAACCAGGGTTTACATTAGCATTGAGGGGACAGCATTTCCCTATTGCTGCTTTAATGCTTTGTTGCTGTCCATTCACTTCACACTAATAGCAGCTGCAGCTTTCACCCCTACAGTATATTCTCAAAAACATCAGGAAAAATGTGCTGCTTGAATGGTCTTTTTTATGAGGAATTATTAAACGAAAAACAGGAAAGTAGTCTTTAAGGTGCAAATGTTTTTTTTTATTTTAATAATTTTTTCAATTTGAAATTCCATTTCAATACATACTAAAAAGGAATACTGGAATCCTGGAAAATTATACCAGGCAGGTTTAACAAACAAGTTACATGAATAGTAAAACCCTTAAGAAGATTTTACTAACACAAACTGAGAGACCAGGCTGAGGTAGGAATTTAAGGTTACTGAAGTGTGGATTTTTTTACTGAAAGCCGGCGGGCAAAGTTTGCAGCGAAATGTAAGATTGTTGCCAACATCCTCACCGACCACCTGGTCATAAACTTGTTTTAAGTGATCATACTGCTGCTTTTTCGCATCCACGGTTGCCTCCATGCTGCATTTTGTTTTGATGACGCACGCGGCTGTAGGCTACGACGCTGGTAGCTGGTGTTGCCAGATTGGGTGTTTTTCCCGCTACATATTAAGGCCTGTTTACGGTGTGATTTAGCCGGGGTTTCGCCTGGAGGACTCTATAGAAATCTGGCAACCTATTGAACGGAGCTGAACTGAGAGAGCGTGCCGTTCACAGACACCAGAATGAAAAAGAATAACGTTCATCAGGCAGTAATGCAGTACGTTCAGTTCACGTTCGCCCAAAATATGAACAAGTTCATGAACTTTCGTTCAATGAACGCGTTCAGGCACAACACTGTTGAGATGGGCACCAACATCCCTCGCAACCCCGCTTGGGATAAGCGTGACAGAAAATTGATGGATGCTTGTAAACTTTTCATAAAATGCAATACTTTGAAAATATACTTTGAAAAAAATATGAAAACCTGTCTTTAAAAAAAAAACTTTTTCTTTTTTTAATATAAAACTCAGACATGTTCCAATTAGTTATCATCGCCTGAAGGTTTCCCTATACAGGGAGGGTGTCGGTGGCTAGGCAACAAACTGCCCGATGACTCTGTAGGTCATACCATGACATCCTTTAATAAAGAATCCTTGTTTATTGGTCTTTTGTTTTACGTTAAAATCCTTAGAAGCTGAACATTGGAAAATACATCAGTGTGTGTGTGATGAATCAAACATTAGAAATTAAAAAAGTATCAAGATGTGCCTTTAAAGCATAGAGGAGACAAAAGGAACTCACAGATCATTGGTTTTAGGAATCATGGTGCCCAGTTCTTTGATTCGATCATTAATGTTGAATCTCCTTCTTCTTTCAACTATCGAAGAGCAAAGAGGAAAAAATATTAAGCAAAATAATTAGTGCAGATAACAATCTGAACCTGATGCAATGAGAAAGTCTTTGCATTTTGGAGGAATAATATATGTATATAAAAACACCACAAATACACACACTCAAATGTTGTGTCACACTATCCTTGTGGGGACCTTCCATTGACTTCCCACTTATTTCTAAGCCCTAACCATGACCCTTGACCTAACCCTAACCATTACCAACACATTCCTAAACCTAAACCTCATACCTTAGTTCTAAACCTTACCCCCACCCTAAGAACAGAACTTCTCCTCATGGGGACCAGTCATTAGTCCCCATAAGTATCTATAAGTCCCCAAGATGTAGCATATTCCTGGGAAAGAGTCCCTACCAGGTAACAAAGACAAGGTCACACACACCAACTCACACAAATAAGATCACACACAGTCACAGGCAATTACTCTTTAAGTGCCAGAACAGCAGAAATGGTCAAGTTAACTATCCACCCACTAGTTGCTCTCAGTTAGCTAGATCAGCACAAAGCTGAGGAAAACTGGATGCCCGTCTGTGCCGGGGGAGAATAAACTTACTTAGATTGTGGTTGTCTTTCTTCTGTCTCTCCTTGGCCAGCGCACGGGCTTCTGCGTCTTTGCAAAAACAAAAAGTAATCAGCTGAAGGCTGATACAAAGAAATAAAAGAGCAGATAACCAGCCCACATCACAGAGCGATGTTTAACAACCAAATTTAAAGATTTAAAATAAGAAAGCTAATTGTTTAACTCAAATGTCCCGCACCTGACAGTTCACGTTTGATGGTCAAGTTGGCGGGACAAGAGTTACTCGTCATTGCGATGGCCGGCGCCTTCATCCCAGGGCCTGTGTAGACGTCCAGGTGGCTGCTGGAGAGTGGGAGCTGGGAAGGTTACACAAGAAAAGAAAAAACATGTACACTTTAAAAAGAAGAAAAAAAGTCTACACACACTGTATCCACTAACGGCTCAAAGTGTTTCGCTTAACAAAAACTATTGATCAGAAATCACCACGATAAATTAAGCTTTAGGTTAACAAATTCAAAACAACATCACTATTTCAGGTTATAGTGCACAATTACAAGTGAGGTTTGAATTGAATTTAAATAGTCTCAATCTGCTCTTCTTTCTTTAAAGTCTTTTATTCCTCAGAGAGAAATCATTCACAGCTTCACACACCTTGTAAACTACTTTCATAAAGTCAGGGTTCCTGTTTATTGTGCTGTAAAATGCGAACAGCAGCGGATAATGCAACAACATGACACCTTGATAGCACCTTGCCAAAATGTGCAGCAATGATTGACAATCCTGTTATCTACCTTATCTGCCTTTATGGCTGGATCCCTCCTCTGCCTTCCTCTGCAACTGAATTTACACCTGAAAAGTGCTCCAAACTCCAGTATCTTGCACTTTAGACGCTGTATAACAACGGAAATTTAGCCCTGTGAGGACAGTTAAAAAGAGCTGATTTGCCTTTAATTGTGCAGGTCATGGAGTTGATGAGTTTTCGGCTCGTTGATGAGACTTGCCGCGCTGCACCGGAGCAGTAGCGACGAATGCGGCGCTGCTAATGAGGCCTGACAGATAAAGAGCTCTAAGGGAAAGATAACTTAATCTGCAAGCTACTGTGTGAGCTGCAAGATCAAACACATCCACAGACGAAAACATAAACAGAGACTTTACAAGTTTTCATTACTAATATGAACAACAGACTTCTTAGGTTCTTAGATATTTAAGCTGTTTAGGTGTGAAAAATGTATAAAATCATTATCCGAACCCGGATTTGGCAGCATTATTCAACAGTGAGGCTATTCATTTATAGGGAAATCTGATCCTTTTTAGGGTTAATGTTTAAAACAAATCAGTACATCATCAAAAGTGATAAAATCCCAATAAAAGGACTTTTATTTGGTTTCACCGGGTCATGTTAACATTGTTTTTGCTGACAAGAAATAACCTAGAAAACCCAGGTTCCATCTCCACGCTTCTGCACTCCAAGCATCTTTGATGGGACAACCTCAGAGTCCCTTTGTGTAATTAAAGGGTGACCTCAGCGTCACTGCGTCGCTCTCTGACTTTTAAAGCGTTTTCTCTGCGCCTGGTATTCAGTGGCTAAACTTTACAAGATTCCAGGAATTCCAAGGAATTTGCCGTCTTAATCCCCGTCGGGATTAGCAGGTGAATTTTACTTGCTGTTCTGACATTAAAGGGGAATAAAGAAGAGGGGGGGTGGGGGCAGCTGGACTAACTTACTGATATGCAGTTTCAACCTCATGCTCCTACAGCCATCTTTTGAAACACTCTGTCCTGAAATTGATTTGTGTGTGCTGGTCAATCTAATCACAGCGCAGCACAGACTCATGCACAAAGACAAAGTTTAAGTGATTAAACCAATCAACCACACAGAGCAGCACGAGATAAAGCCAAAGCAGCATATGTGGGCTTCCCTCTCTCTACACATCAGTAAGCTGGGTTGAATATGCACGTAGAATCTGAGTCGATTTTAATTCAAATTGGACTGCAAAACCCAACAATGTCCGATAAAAGGATACCCTTGACTAAACAGAAGCAAAAAGTAAAAAAGATTAGGTCAGTAGTTTGCAACCATTTTTTTTGTCTGTTATGATTAAAGATGGAAAAGCTGCAGCATCTTTGCTATCTGAAGTTTAAACTTTGAACAACTAAGAGCTTGCTTCCTCTGATCCAAATCAAAGTCACGTTAAAGCAGCCAGGGAGCTTATATCTTACCAGCTGAATCTGTTCTCCTTCAATAACTTCCACAATGGCATACGTCTTATTCATCTCCTTCATCCTACACTCCTCTGCTCATAAAGGCCGAGGGGGCTTTCTTCTTCTTCTCTCCAGGGCTGGGGCAGCACATGCAGCACTCTGTGTCACACGCCTTCCCCTGCTGCTGCTGCTGCTGAGAGAATGACCTCAGCGGAGCTGCTGCTCGTCTTCTACCTCCGATCACCACCAAACAGAGGTGAACTTTCCCCCAACTGGACTTTCAGCCTGTTTTCCCTTCAGCATAAATCGTCCTCATCGCCCCCACCCACATCCACCCCCCCAATCCTTTTTTTTTCTCCCCCACCTCCCTCTCTCTGAATGTCTTGTAAACAAGTTGAACTCTAACTGGTGGTGGCTTAATTGTTAATTTTCTGAGTTTGCTCTCTCGGACACAAAGCGAGGCACAGTCCTCGGCCTCTGCATGTCTTCCCTGCTGCTTCTAACTGTGTCCGACACGGTTTAGGGTTGGAATGTTTAGTGTTTAAGCCAATTATACACTTTGTTTTGTGCACTTCACTTTGTTTGTCTATGTGGTTCTGTTTATGGCTCCACAAAGACATAACCGATTGGACACTGCGACTACATGCAGAATGGAGAAATGGATTTGGAGTTACATTCAATGTTTGCTTTGAGGCATTAACTCACTGTGGTTTAATTAATAGATGAGCTTAATAATTACCAATAATAGGAGCAAATGCGAGCGATATAAGCTATTGTAGCAAACGATGAAAAGTCACCTTATTTGTACTGATGGCTCGCTTGGTATTTACGACTAAATGACTTGTTTATTGGGCCTATATAAGTCCTAAAAGTCTGGAGGAGCAATTAAGTATTTTATGAAAAAAAATACATTTTATTGTCCAATCTTTTTTTCGCCCCTTCCATTCATCTCAGTAAGCTTGGAATGAAAGGAAAGAGAAAAAAACTCTTTAAAATCTGTCTTAATTCAATCCACAAATGAGTTTTAAACAAAACAAACATTAAAAAAATATCCTTCTTATTCTTCATTTCATAGCTATGGCACCTGACAGACATGCCTTATAAAAATCCCTATTTTAGCCTAGTCATTTTTTCAAGTTAGATTGAGCTCCAACTGCGTTAAAAACATGCGTTCACATCATTTTAGGTTTTATCTTAGTCTGTTAATTAGAATTACCTTGACTGAGACACTTATAATCACATCTTTGAGCTTTAATCTTTTCTTTTCAAGATTGTCTTTTATATCAACTTTTCATCAAAAATAACTGTAATGTCTGTATGTCAATTTTAGGCCGTGACAAAAGCACATCCCCGAGTTGACGTCAACTCAGGGCTTCGTTTGGATTCGCCCGTTTTATGGTGGAAGTTTAAAATTGCGAGATTTGCAGAGAAAGGAGGTGTTGATGGGGTTTGAACTTCTCTCTATGTCCATTTCACCCACTGAACTAGTGTTATTCATCTGTGACAATGTAAATTCGGTTTTGCATTCTATGACCCCTTTAAACATTCATGTCAACTTTTAACAGGGTTGAACTAACCTAAGGAGGTGAACCCTAGCGCGCAACTAGGAAGAAAATGTTACGGTTTCAACAGGGATTTCCTAAAAATTAGCCAATCAGAGGCTGTTTACTTTCTCATGTTGATTCCATCCACAAAGAGGTAAAATGCTTCATGAGAAGAGAGAAGAGTGCAGAGAAAATGGGCCACATAGGAGAGCAGAGAAGGAGCACAGACTCATGCTGGTAACATATTGGGGGCCTCATGGTACAACTGCAGGCATAAAACGTTGAAAATTCGAGTGGAGAAAAGTCTACATATGTGTTTTTATTACACATGAACACTTCTGGCACAAATCTGACTTTAAAGATCTCAAATGACTTTGACAATGTTTAAGTCATTTATTTTCCCTACAAAGTTGGTTGCAGGGGATTTCATTTAGACGTAGCAAAGAAAAGGGGTTAGGATAAAATGTGCTACAATTTCTTGTTGATTTGTAAAACAATCTGTAAAATACACAGTTTTTCATTCCACCTCTGTTGATATATAACTTTAAATCTCAATAAAGCACATAGAAATCTGTGGTTGTAATTCAACAGAAAATGGAAAGCTTTAGGACTAATGGCTACTTTTGATGTAATTTCATATGTAAAGACAAGTTGCCATAAACAGAAAAGAAAAAAATGATGTCTTTACAGCTAGAAAAATCACCAATTACAAAAGTGCCTCATAAGGTTTTACAGCCTGTAGAGCCAGCAATGCACTCAATCCTTTACATCCAAGTTAACTGGATGCAAAGTACAGGCACTGTATAAAATACCATGAAAAAAAGTAATTATTTATTTTCAAGAGGCTTTCTCTCCACTCACAGTGTTTGACATCTGGACAGGGTCCATGTATCCTGGAACATCATCATAGCTGGACTGCAAACTTATAATGTCGTCAATAACCTCATCCATCTGCAAAAGAAAATAAAATTACAAAATAATACTTCTTACGATGGTTCAACAGACCAATTTTCAAAAATACGAACCACTGCTAAACCTATAAAAACGTTTATAGATCCTACTTTATAACGTCTAGAATCAAAATGCAGTAAAATATTCAAATATTCAGAAGGTAGAACTCTGAAACCACTTGTTTTATATTCATTTTACTGAAGCTTTAAACCCTGAAACCATTTAGAAACTTTTTTCAGCCATTAAGATATTTTCTTTTACAGAGAAAAAAAGAAAAAAAGAGGAATTGCAGAGCCGAAGGAAGAGTGTTGGTCAAAGTCTCCCAGGTTCAAAGGCCCCTACATTCTGCTGTTTCTCTGTCACTTTTTAAGCTGTAATTACTGCAAGAAGGCCATTATGGAGCATTTAAATTCCACTAATTGCCTCTCTCAGTTAGTTGCCACTTTCTTCTGACTCACCGACAGTTCCTTCTCAAAGTGCTGCTCCTTTCCACTAAAGAACCATTAAAAGATTACGATCCTTGCATAAAAAAAAAGAAAAATCATGCTTCTTTTGGGATAATTTTCAACCCTTGTAGTTTGTTATATTGGCACAATTAAGCTGTATTACAGGATATTTGTGTTGGGCCCCAGCAAATCAAGCTTTAAAAGAAGACCATGAACCTAATGTTTATGGGTTTATGTTGATCCCACAGTCTGCCCTGCACGCTTCCAGGCACCATACCTCCTTCTCGTGGTTGGAGCCAATGTTAAGCATGGCCATTGGGCTGTTGGGGGCGCTGTTGCCAGACATGAGCTGCTCCTTACGCATGTGTGGAGAGTGGAGAGGTGGAGGCGCAGATGCTGAACTCACAGCAGGTCCCATGTTTTTGGGAGGAGATGGCGGCATGAGCCCTGCTACTGAGTGAACCGTCTGGGGACACAACAGAGAAAGTGGATGTTGAAGATGAGCATAAAAATACACTTACAACCTCTAGCCATGCTTTGTCTTCTGTGCAATGAATATATGAGTCATACAGTGAATTTCATAAAAAACATTTACTCCTATTAGAACTTTTTCACACAAAAAAAACAAAAAAAATCTCTTATGTGTTGTTAGATATTTGTTGTAATAGACCAAAACAAAAATAGTGCATCCATGTGAGGCATTAGCTAAACTTATTTAGTTATGAAGCTTCTAAAATAAAAGAAAACCTGAGGATATCAGCCAATAGGGTAGAGAGAAAGTTCTGAAAAATTTAGGACTAGAACTCACAGAGCACTCGATCAATCACCAACAAATGGATAGAGAATGGCATAACTGCAAACCTAGAGGATTAATTAGGTTATCAGCTAGAAGGCCCACAGTCTACCTTTAAAGGATAAGCCTACTTTTAAAACATTTCCTTTATGATAAAGCTTATAGTGGCTCAGGTTATTCTAAGCTGTCTTTATATAGTTATGCTGCTATATGCTTATGATGCTGGAGGACATGGGAACCCCTTTTCATCATTCTATTTCTTTTCTCCAGTTCTGCAGTATTTGTTTGTAACCTCCAGCATTATGTTCTCTATGCTTTTTCGCTTCATAGTAACTTTAACTGGTCTGGTCTATGAACTGTAATGGAGGGTAAACAGCTGGCCTCTAAGGAAGTGAAGAAAGCCACAAGAGCTCCCATTTAAAGTTCACTAGAGGACAGCAAATATGTGGCACAGGAAGCTCTGCAGCTTCCGCAAACCATTCACTCAGTGGGAAATAAAATCATACACAGTGTATACATTCCATATTCTTGTAAATAAACATTTTTGAATACCATTTATCCAGTGTACCACTGGTTGTTTATCTATCTAGCACTAAAAAAGGTATAAATACTTTTGGAAGTCACTCTGCTCAGCAGGGCAGTCAACAGCCAACAATACCTGTTTGTTGGCATAAGTGGTTGAAAGGTATTCCTTCACTTGCTGTCTCCGTGACTGGCGGATATGATAGTCTGTTGGATTTTCAAGGTGAGTTTGCACCTGAATAAATCAAAACAGAAAAAAGAAACAGTTTTGATTATTAAAGACATTTTACTTACTTTAGGATCCAAAAGTCTAAAAAAACAAAAGAATAACAATTTCACATTAACAGAGCTGCTTTAACTGAGCTCATGTTAAGGCTGAGTTATACTCAGAAACCAGGTTGTCTGCATGTGTCGCAGTTAACGCAAATGTGCCCCCGCCCCCTCCGCAGACACTCTGCTGCACCTCTCCAAAATTGTAGGTGACCGCAGACAGGAGGCCTCTGATGGGTCAAACCTACATCTGCTCTACAGTATGCGTATTTCCTGCTTGGTACCTTACCAGCTTGGTTTGCTTGTATGACCGCGTTTGCGGAAAACGACTCGTGAAGATTGACCACCTAGAAGAGCGAGGGACGCGAGAATGCTGGGACCCTTTTTCCACCTTGATCCCTGCTCTTTTTCACTCTCACGTCCCTCCATTGTCTTACAAACTTGCCCCCACTACATCACCGCCTCGGCCGTATCTAGACCCACAGCTAGTTCATGATTGTCCCTCTTGCGTTGTGGCGTGAAATAACATAGTGCAGACCATGCTTCAATATTGGGCATACATCAAAAATATCTGGGACAAGCTCACTGCGACACACTGCTGCCGGAGGATAACCAGCCCTTTAGGCTACACAGACCAATGGGCCAGCCTCATACCTTCATGTGAAAGGCCAGAGCTAAGTACGGAGCTTCACACTCCTCTTTTTATCCACTTTAATAACCAAGAGCTGGATGGCATCAGAAGAACCGGTATCATTTCAGGGAATACATGTTCCTGCTACTACAAAACAGAGTTATTGCTGATCTCATCGGATCCATTCCCCCATTGGAATGCATTTTACATGCCCTTATCTTTGACATCAATATTATATTCACTTTTGGCATACAGTGATGCTTTTTCAGGCTGTATTGATAATAAAAGCAACTCTAAAATTGTTTTAAATACAACAACATGGTGCCAATACTTGAATATAATGTGGCTTTCCTCTACTTTTATGTAACCCCACTCATATTTGACCACCTGTAAGAGAACGCGTGCAATATTTTGCAGCCATGTGGTCATTCCGGGTTGGAAATATGATCGAAATATAACTCTGTTGGTTTCCTTTAAATTAGCTAATTTAATGCATAATCCACAACGTTTCAAAGACATTAGGGTCTATACCATTCTAGAAAAATTATATTAGCCACTTTAGCCAGTATCAGACTTAGTTTCTTTTTTTTTTTTTTTTTTAAAGGAGCTGTATGTATTATTTTATATGCATATATCACCAGCACTCATGTATGCGGGGCCTCATGGGGGTCTCATGGTGTTGGATCTGCATGCATAAAACATGCGTTTTGTTTTAAATACAATCAGCTGTATGAGTATTTATTACATGTGTGTACTTTTGGCTGAATTCGGACTGCATACATCACAGACTCCACACAAAATCTTTGTCTAGTCCAACAAAAGGTTACACATTGGAGCCTTGTTGATGAGGATTAAGACAGGAGTAAACATTAGAAAAACTCAGATCTGCCATGGGAATGTTCCTCTTTTTGCTAAAAAGATAAAATGATCCATTCAGGAGAACTTCCGTATTTATAACTGAAGACGAAATAACGCATCTAAACTAAAGACGTGCAGTTACAGCTGCAGGCTGCTGTACTTTTTACCTTCTCCCATGTTTTGTACAACACTGGTGTCATCTCAACTTGCAGCCAAAGGGGGGCAAACATCAGCAAAAACTCTAGGATTTGCTTTACACCTCCTTAAAGTTGGTGGTTCCAACACATCATTAAAAGCCCAAATCAATAGCACATTCCTTTTGGTGATGAGTGTTAGCAAACCTCTGACCTGAACAACAAACCGACATACTGAAAGTGATGTTTACATAAACCAATGATGGACCCTGGGAGGTATACGGCAAAGATGTAGCTGCGTGGATAGGAGCAACAATAGAAATAACAAACAAGGTTTTACCCTCTAGAGTTCTAAATACTATAATCTTTGTGCATGAAGTCAAGTCTACCATGAGATTATTGCATAACCTTGCTGACAAATGTACAATGAACACTGATGATTACATTACTGTTTCTCAGCTCACCTTGCAGGAGGACTAAAAATTGACACTGATAAATTGTTACAAAAAAAATTTGCATGATGAACTTTCTAGTTGTGGGAGTTTCACTTGCCAAGGCAAACTTCTAAGAAATGTGTTGCAGGAGTTATGACAGCATCAGATGGCCTGACAGACAGGGAGTTTACTTTATCTACAGCAGGAAAAACACAGATTTCATAAACACCATTCTTTTCAACCACACACACACACACACACACACACACAGAGTAAACAGTCAATACAATATAGGCATGTTGCCCCATGCGGTGAAGACCGCATACACAGTGGACAGATATACAGTTGCATAAAGGACAGAAAAAACAAAACATCTGAAGGAGTGTTGCACATAAATAGATAAGGACAAACAGGCATCTCTGGAATCAGGCAAAATGTCACTTTGCTTTATCAGCCCCCGTCTGAGCCTATCTGCATCCCCCCTATGTGGCCTATCACAAAAAACATGTCAAACGTCTCTTATCTCCCACTTCTGTCTCCTTAAATGCCCTGTTGCTCCCCTGCATTTTTCTTTCTCATAGATGTCTCTGGGTTTCAACAACGTCCCGACCGCCTCCTCTGCACCCATCCCAGATTAGGTGCTTCGAAGCAAAACTGCCATTACAATCTTTAAATGTATTGTCCTTTTTGTGCTTCCGCAACATTAGGAGCAATTAGAGTAAAATATATTTCACAAATCAGCTTTTTTCCTTCAAAATCACAGAGGAAACCGACCTTCAGAACCTCCACGGGAACCTGCATGCTTTGGTACTGCTGCGGGGTGCTGATGGCCGGTGTTGGCGCAGGCGGCCCAGCCATGCGTTGCTGCATGTACTGCATCGCCATGTTCTGCTGATGCTGCTGCCGCTCACGCTGCTCCTCCTGCTGCAGCTGGTCCCGCATCAGCTGGATGCAAACAAACACAAACATCTCAGAACCAACTCAGGGATACAAGGATAGGGCCAGATGTTAGAAAATCCAGAAAAGGGACATAATTACATAAAAAACAATTAGTGGTGGGATTTAATTTTCAATCAAGTTAAATTGAGAGTCTTTAATTAAACCATATATTGACCAAATAAACCCCTTTCTCCTCAGTTATTGAATAAATAATTATATGATCACCGCAACACATACATTTATAATTTGTAATCCAATTATTTAAGAATTTTCAACCATCAGATTGGTTTAAAGTTATAATATTTTAGCATTTTTGGAAACCCTTAATATTTAAAGCTATAACAGTACACAAACAACTATAATAGCTCAGGTCACTATATATGGTACAAAAATATATACAGGCAATACCTAGTTGCTCTAAACAAAATGATTTTTTTCTAATACTGACAGAAATATCAGAGCTACGCTCTGCTTAACATTTGCTTTTAAATATGAAGCATTTAATAAAATGATTACCCGAGGCTACTTTTTCTCTTTAAGTCTTTTACTAACACAAATAATCCACGTTGCTGGTCCTAGCTCCTTCCTAACTGGCAGCAATATTCAGATAGCTCTTATTATGGCTTGTCTGGATCGCCGTAACTTAGATGTCCATAGAGGAGGTATTCGCATCAAGCCATAGGTTTAAAGCTTGAATATCGCCAGTGGACCAACACCTGTGTGGCTGCTTGCGCATCAGATTTAAAGGTGTATGAGAAATGAGGAGGATAAATCTTCCCGCTTGGGACTAAAATACAATGAATTGCATTAGTGTTTTTAATTAACCGTTATAAATATTCATAGAAATGAACATGTTAAACTCTCTGTGTTCTGTCAGAAGAGCATACCCCTTCAGACCAGCATACCCATAGTCAATACCCGTTTATCCCTTTAGTTTATCTCCGTTTACCTGTTTAGTTTGTCCTTTTAGTTAATCCCTTTAGTTTTGTAGAAAAAAATACACTTTAAACTACCTCAACGTGAATGTATCCCCTTAGTCATGTACAAAAAACAATATAATTACTTACTTTTTGGTGTTTTTTGAAGCGTTTGGCGATCTCACCTTAAATTTTTTAGTTTTTTTGTTAATTACTTAAGGGATATAAGCCTGTTGAGGTAGTTTAAAGTCTATTTTTCGTACTAAACTGAAGGGATAAATGGAAATCTGACATCTTGCACATACATATTGACTATAGGTATGCTGGTCTGACAGGGTATGCTTATCCTACACAACACCAACTCTAGTTACTCTGTTTAATAAATACCCAACAGATGGCTTATTGAAAAGCATTTAAATCCAATTTATCATTTAGATACTTTTTAACAAACCTTTTTGTATTACGTGAGGGTTTCAAGTCATGAATCAACATATTCTAAAACAGCTTTCGCATTACTACGGTAGTCAAGTTCTAAAGTTTTTTCCACCCCATACAAAAAAAAAAAAAAACAATGCAACCAATCCCTTTATAAGTCATCTAACTAATAAAGTTCATCTGGTTTAATTCATTCATTTGTGTAACAACACGGCTTTTAAAAGTAAGCTTAAGGGAGAGCATTTGTTGTAAGGACAGCTATGAGGCGTGCACGCCACAAATCTGATAAAGTGGCAAGAAGAAAGACTTCTTTAAGAGAAAGCCAGTCACATGCAATGCAGGATAAACAACACAAGCGTGTGGAAGAAGGTGATCTGGTCAGATGAGAGCAAAATGTTAGCATGGTAACCTTCATGAAATGCTTTCAGTGATAGAAAACTAACACTGCACATTACAATGAACTAAACATCCCCACTGAAAAATACAGTGGTGGCAGTGCCATGCTGCGGGGACTCTCATTAGGATCTATAAGAAGACTGATAAAGATAAATACATGACAATCATGGAAAATAAACCAAAATAAAACAAAGACTTACTTCTAGATAATCAGCTTTTTAAAGAAATCACTGATTCAAGTGGCTGAAGACAAATGCGCATTAAACTTTCAGTTCTTATAGTTAGAAAAAACACTACTTTATGTTGGTCTATAATATAGATCCCCCCAAAAATAAGCTGAAATGTGTTATTTTAACATAACATGTAAAAACATCAAAGGGATATTAATACTTTTGCAAAGCAGTCTTGCAAAGGATTCAAACAAAGCATTATGAAGTCGGCAAAAGGGATTTATTAATTTCATTTAGAATGATGACAGCAAGCACTAGCAGCTAGATATTAGGGTAAATGCTATTGCATGGATGGCTTTCCGAAAGTATATATTGAAATAAGTGTGTTAAACCTTAGATTATGGTAATTTAAATTTAAAATAAAGAAAAAACAACTCCAATATCTTATTTCAGGTTTCATTTTCATTATTTTACCGGCCTGAAATACTCATCCCATTAGCAGATCATCTTATTTACCTCCTCCAATTAAAAGCAAGTACACTTTTGAGACATTTTTACTTTTGTTTAGATCCGTTTTTGCAGTGCTGAAAGAAACAGTGATCTACCTGCATTCGCAGCCCGATGCGTGAGGCCATGGCTGGGGGCCGAGGGGGCAGGGGAGGGCGAGCTGACGTTAATGCACCACAGTCCAGCCCGAGAGGTAGAGGGATCTGTGCAGGAGATAAGGAGATGAAAACAGTGTAAGGCTAGAAAAGGTAAGAAGGGAATCCAAGAGGGAAACAGACAAGAGTCTGATTATTGCAAAAAATAGATCATGGGTTTTTATGAAAGTAAAAATGCATACTTATGAAGACTGGGAAACAGTTCCCTTTTATCTCCAACATTGTTAGATGCATGTTTGGTTATTAATGAGAGCATTGGTTTTCAGATGGAAAATAAAAAAAATGTGCAACAATTTCAGATTTCAGATGTTTGGACTTCACACCTTATCTCAAGATAAAACACATAATGTGAACTTTGTTAATAATAATTGCTAGCCTACATATAGGTACATTTGAGAAAAAAAAACAACAACAGTAACTTGCAAAAGTTCCATTTTTTTATGCTCAGACTGCAAAACATTTATTGTAAGTTTAAAAAAAACTAAGTGTATGAGTGCCAATAGAGTAAAATTATTAATGTTTTAAGTCAGAAAAAAACTCCATTATAACTTTCCATGTGCATAATATCTAATTGTACTATCTTATTGACAAGATACTCATTCCATTAACGGATTATCTTATTTACCTGCTCCAATTAAGAGAAAAATACACAAACGTTTACTCATTTTCAGATCAGCTTTGCAGAGGGAAGTGTTTTAAATCTTTTTTTTTTGTATATTTTACCATTATGAAGTACAGACAATGAAATAATTCAGGCTGCGTCCGAATGTCTGTCTATCCCCTATACAGAGCACTATATAGGGGTCGCGCCATTTTATATGAGTGTACAAATGTCTAGTGGATGAAAAAGTTGTGGACTCAAAATCCCCCACAATGTACCTTAAAAAGCAGTGTACATCAATTACCAAGAGCTCTCTTCTTGCAAAGCATCATGGGATTTGTTTTGGGGATGAGCGAGAACAAAGGCGCAGGCACCGTGCGGGGAGCCGCAACCACGTGACCAACGGGAGGTGAAAAGTAGTGGTCATCCGTCTAAACGGTCATTGCACAATAAAGTTCACTATATATTTCCCTCTCGACATAATGATTGAGGAATTAGGGGTTAGGGTGGACACAGCCACAGAGTCAAAGAAAATTATATTACATAAGATTGATACAAAATGATAATCTAAACAGAAACATTAGGACTCTGGAAAGTATGCTCATTTTGTGCCTTTAAAGGGATAGTTCGGTATTTTTGACATGAATCTGTATGGCATCCCCATCACCAGCGGCATGCAATCACACTGACTTACCCCTGGCAGCGTCCTGTGAGCAGAGTTATCGTCCAGTTTTGGTCAAGCCGAAAGTAGTCCTGCAGGTTTTTAGGAACAGCGAAATAAAACTTTTCTCTTCCCAAAACATTATGTGTTCAAAAGAGTGATATTTTCGTATCCCAAAAACATTGTAGTGGAAAAAGTCACACGTCGTTATCAATTGGTCCTATTTTCTCTCTGTTCGTATCAGTGCGCGCCGTCATTCAGACAGCGAGCCCAACAACAGCCATGTCTCCCTCCGCCGCTTGCGAAAATATCACTCTTTTGAACACATAATGTTTTGGGAAGAGAAAAGTTTTATTTCGCTGTTCCTAAAAACCTGCCGGACTACTTTCGGCTTGACCAAAACTGGACGATAACTCTGCTCACAGGACGCTGCCAGGGGTAAGTCAGTGTGATTGCATGCCGCTGGTGATGGGGATGCCATACAGATTCATGTCAAAAATACCGAACTATCCCTTTAATACTGTAAAGAGCCTCCTATTCCATAGAGGCATTGTTGGGTCTGGCATCTCTGATCTTTCTCCTAAAATGTTCCATGGGGTTCAGGTCCACATGGTTTGCTGGTAATTCAATCACAGTAACATCATGGTCACTGAACCCGGTTCCGGTACCTTTGGCAGTGTGGAGAGGTACCGGGTGATGCTGGAACATGAAATCTGCATCTCCATTTAGCAACATAAGGAAGCTGGGGTTGTCAAAAGTATCGATACTCAAAAAAGTATTGATACTGAAACGTTGTATCCGGATACAATACTTGTTTTTAAAAGTATCGATACAGTGCCACCACCAGTGGCACCTAAACAGTCATTCATCTAAAGTGCAGAATAGAGGAAAATGCACTTTCTGAACACTGTGTGATTGAACAATTCTGTGCATTTTTCAGTTTCAGACGTTTTTTGACGTTTCTGAGAATTATTTTTGTTTCTTAACCAGTTTGGCTAGTGTCATTGCTATCTGTGCAAAGCTTAGCCAAGGAAGGAACACTTAATTTTAATTTTGTAAGTTTTTTATCAATCTTGCTTAATATTGTACACAGCAAACAACCTCAAAATATTCTTCTTATTGTTTATTGTATTTTTATTATTAATGAAAATTTCTGTTGAATTTTGGAGTCTGTTTTTATCCTTGTGGTATCGAGTATCGAATATTTTCCTTAGTATCGGTATCGAGTTGAAAAGTATAGTATCGTGACAACCCTAAAGGAAGCATAAAAAGAGCTTACATTTCCTGGTAGATCTCTCTTTGACTATGGACAACAGAAAGCACAGAACCAATCCCAGTAGAGGACATGGCCTCCAAAAACCTGTGCCTCCCCACTCTTCCAACACACTCTGGGACTTTGCCTTCAAAATGAAATGCAAGCCCTATTTTCATCTCAGATGACTGAGCAACAGTTTGGTCTGTAGTTGGAGAATGGCTTGACATAATGAAGGTGTCTTTTGTAGCAGATGTGTGGGTTCCTCTGGCTGTAGACTCTTGATGTGCAGAAACCAGCCTTAATCCACTCTCAGGGTGGAAGTTATCCCTGATGCTGCTGGAGCATTTCCCAGAATTTCCAAGTCAACTCAACTTTCTATCAATATGATTATTGATAGATACTGTGTGAACAAAAAGCATCTTTAGCGTTGACCTTACAAAGAGTGTCAGTGAGCGTCTTCTGGACACCAGTGAGGTCATCAGTCATCCCCATGATTGCATAACCTCCTGACCCAGACTGAGACTATAGAGGCTCAGGAAACCTTTACAGGCATCCTGAGTTTATAATTTCAGTAGATTGTGACACCAAGTTTCCAGTATTTCCCCTTTACAATATTTAAGTTTTCTCAGAGTTTGCTTTTTTTTTAGCCTCAGTCATCAGAAAAATGAGAAGTAGAGGCTTAAAATATTTCACTCTATGCAGTGAATGTATAGAATATATGGGTTTCACAAAAGAGTCTAAGACAAACTGTCCAGCTTAACAGTGTCATATCATTTTGACCTTCTCACTATTCTGTTTAGGTCCAAATATAATGAATTCATGACTTATTCAAAGTTTCATTTAATCATTTTATATATGTACATATATTCTGGGTTCCAACTAAATAAAATGTAGAAACCCAGATAGCAGCCAGCTGCCTAATCATTTTACTCTGCTAGTAACTGGTTTTGGTTTCAAACAGGCTGTACCATCAGAGAAATCACCTACCGCCTGGAAGCAACCCATTGTTCTGTTTATAATTCCTGATCAGTAATCAGTGGTTAAGATCTAAACTCCAATCCTTTTTCCAGGTCAGTGAATGCATTCCACCTAGCAACTATCAGGCTGCACTGATGATATCTTTAGTGTCAAAGTTATTGCTGAGAGTTTTATGCAAGCTAAAGTTTTTATCAGCGAGGTGGTGGAATTTGAGGAAGCACGTTGTGTTTTTAACATTAAATCAAGATCATTATAACACAGAAAACATTGATAATTCTAACTTTATCCATCATGAAACATGCTGGATTTGGAAATATATGCTATCTGCAGGAAATCTCAATATCAGGTATGGCTCAGCATGCTCTGAAGGGATTCAAAGTAAGGAACCTGTCCTTACTGGTGACAGTAAGCTCTGTGGTCAGACCTCCTTACCATAGCCCTAATCTTTAGCTTACTCCAAATATTCTGAATGAGAAAACATTAAGCCTTCCCTCTCTCTTTATTCAAAGTATTTTTTCTGACTCTTTGGTTTTCTGTTGAATCTGCATTTTTCAGTAATACTGTATTTTGTATGTGTTTTACTGTATAAAATAATCATATTCAAAATAATTAAACATAGATAGTAAATAAAACAACAATAACAAAAATGCTCAATGTTACGATTTTAGAAACCTCTGTAAACTATAAAAAAACAAAAAACAATGAAATTGTTCAGAATGGAAAAGAGGTCTTTATAGAGATATAAATATTCATAACCAGTTTTAGGTTTAAAGATTTCAACCTTCAAGGTTTACTGATTTTAACGCGAAACATATTTTTTAATATTAAGTCAAAATAATATCTGTGATGAAACATGCTGGATTGGGGAACATATAAATGCAATCTTTAGGAAATCTCAAAGCAAAAGTCCCCAAAGTAAGGGGTCAGCGTGTTCTGAAGGGAATCACAGCAAGCAATCCCTTTTTTTATTGCTGAAAATCTGGCCTCCTTACAACAACCCTAACCTTTAAATATTGCTGCGAATATTCTGTCAGATTCAAGTCGAGTTCCTCCGTAAATATTAACAATTCTTCTAATCAGTAGAAATGTGTAGGCTGAAATTTTAAACCTAAATCCATCAGGGTTATGAATATTTTATCTTTATAAAGATCTATTTTACATGCTAAAGGATTTGGGGGGATTTTATTTTTAGATAGGAGGCTTTGTGTCATAAATAATTATTTTTTATCAACTATTTATATTTTATTTTTCTACTAATTACCTTATCCAGTAAATGTAAGCAAAAATATGTTTTTCATTTTTATTCATCTTTTTTAAAAAGGTTATAAGTTACTAATAATATATACTTTTAACAAACATCCATTTAAGGCTACATCTTTTCTATTCAAAAGTTGAAATTAATAAATCGACAGGTCTTGTTTTATCAAAAGGTTTTTAAAAAGCATGTTATACACCCCCCCACCAAAGGTGTTTTCTGACTGAGTTCCTTTTCCGTCAAGTTAGAAGAGGATTTAAAAAAAAAAACAATAACAAATATGCTCATAGGTATATTG